TCCCTCTCTCCTCTCCTCTCCCTCTCTCTCCTCTCTCTCCTCCCTCTCTTCTCCTCCTCTCCTCTCCTCCTCTCCTCCTCTCCTCTCTCTCCTCCTCCTCCTCTCTCCTCTCCTCCTCTCCTCCTCCTCTCCCTCCCTCTCCTCTCTCTCCCTCCTCTCTCCTCTCCTCCTCCTCTCCTCTCCTCCTCCTCTTCTCCTCTCCTCTCTCTCCCTCTCTCCTCCTCCTCTCCTCTCTCCTCTCCCTCTCTCTCCTCTCTCTCCTCTCTCCCTCTCTCCTCCTCTCCTCTCTCTCTCCTCTCTCCTCTCTCTCCTCTCTCCCTCCTCCTCTCCTCCTCTCCTCCTCTCCTCTCTCCTCCTCTCTCCTCTCTCCCTCCTCTCTCCTCTCTCTCCCTCTCCTCTCTCCTCTCCTCTCTCTCTCCCTCTCTCTCTCCTCTCCTCCTCCTCTCCTCTCTCCTCTCCTCTCCCTCCTCCTCTCCCCTCTCTCTCCTCTCCTCTCTCCTCTCTCTCCTCTCCTCCTCTCCTCTCTCCTCTCTCTCCCTCTCTCTCCCTCTCTCCTCCTCTCTCCCTCTCTCCTCTCTCTCCCTCCTCTCTCTCCTCCTCTCTCCTCTCCTCCTCTCCCCTCCTCTCTCCTCCTCTCCTCTCCTCCTCTCTCCTCTCCTCTCTCTCCTCCTCCTCTCCCTCTCCCTCTCCTCTCCTCCTCTCCTCTCCTCTCCTCTCTCCTCTCCTCTCTCTCCCTCTCTCTCCTCCTCTCTCCTCTCTCCTCCTCCTCTCTCTCTCCCCTCTCTCTCTCCTCTCTCCTCTCCTCCTCTCCTCTCTCCTCTCTCTCTCTCTCCCTCCTCTCTCCTCTCTCCTCCTCTCCTCTCTCCTCTCCTCTCTCTCCTCCTCTCTCTCCTCTCCTCTCCTCTCTCTCCTCTCTCCTCTCTCTCCTCTCTCCTCTCCTCTCTCTCTCCTCTCCTCCTCTCTCTCCCTCTCTCCTCTCTCTCCTCTCTCCTCTCTCTCCTCCTCCTCTCCTCTCTCCCTCTCTCTCCTCTCTCTCCTCTCTCTCTCCTCTCTCCTCTCTCTCCTCTCTCCTCCTCTCTCTCCTCTCTCCTCTCTCCTCTCCACTCTCTCCTCTCTCTCCTCTCTCCCTCTCTCTCTCTCTCTCCTCTCTCTCTCTCCTCTCCTCCTCTCTCTCTCCTCCTCTCTCCTCTCTCTCTCTCTTCCTCCTCTCCTCTCTCTCTCTCTTCCTCTCTTCTCTATTTCCTCCCTCTCCTCCTCTCTCTCCTCTCTCCTCTCTCTCCTCCTCTTCTCTCCTCTCTCCTCCTCTCTCCTCATCTCACTCTCTCTCCTCTCTCTCCACTCCTCTCTCTCCTCTCTCTCTCTTCACTATATCTCATATCCCTCCTCCTTCATCTTTCTCCTCTCTCTCTCTCTCCTCCTCTCTCCACTCTCTTCCTCTCCTCTCTACACCTTTCCACTCTCCTCCTCTCTCCTCTCATCTCCTCTCTCTCCTCCTCACTCCTCCTCACTCCTCCTCTCTCCTCCTCTCTTCTCCTCTTCTCTCCTCTCTCCTCCTCTCTCCTCTCTCTCCTCTCCTCTCCTTCCTCCCTCTCTCCTCCTCTCTCTCTCCTCTCTCTCCTCTCTACTCTCCTCTCTCCTCTCCCTCTCTCTCTCCTCCTCTCCTCTCTCCCTCTCTCCCTCCTCACCTCTATCCTCTCCCTCTCCTCTCTCTCTCCTCTCTCCTCCTCTCTCTCCTCTTCCTCTCTCCTCCTCTCTCTCTCTCCTCTCTCTCTCCTCTCTCCTCTCTCCTCTCTCTCTCCTCTCTCCTCCTCTCCTCCTCTCTCTCTCTCTCTCCTCTCTCTCCTCTCTCTCTCCACATCCTCTCACTTCTCCTCTCTCCTCCTCTCTCCTCTCTCTTCCATCTCTCTCCTCCTCTCTCCTCTCCTCTCACTCTCTCCTCTCATCTCTCTCACTCTCTCTCTCTCCTCTCTCACTCCCTCCCTACTCTCATTCCTCTCTCCTCTCTTCTCCTCTCTCTCCTCTCTCTTCACTCTCCTCTCCTCCTCTCTCCTCCTCTCTCCTCTCCTCTCTCTCCTCTCTCCTCCTCTCTCCTCTCTCCTCTCTCTCTCTCCTCTCTCTCTCTCTCTCCTCTTCTCTCTCCTCTCTCCTCCTCTCTCTCCTCTCCTCTCTCCTCCTCACTCTCCTCTCTCCCTCCTCTCTCCTCTCTTCTCCTCTCTCCTCTCTCACTCTCCTCCTCCTCTCTCCTCCTCTCTCCTCTCTCTCTACCTCACTCTCTCCTCTCTCCTCCTCTTTCCTCTCTCTCCTCTCTCCACTCCTCTCCTCTCTCTCCTCTCTCCTCCTCTCTCCTCTCTCTCTCTCCTCTCCTCCTCTCTCTCCTCTCTCTCCTCCTCTCTCTCCTCTCTCTCCTCTCTCTCCTCTCTCTCCTCTCTCCTCCTCCTCTCTCCTCTCTCTCTCCTCTCTCTCCTCTCTCCTCTCTCCTCCTCTCTCCTCTCCTCCTCTCTCTCTCCTCTCCTCCTCTCCTCCTCTCTCCTCTCTCTCTCTCTCTCTCCTCCTCTCTCCTCTCTCACTCTCCTCTCTCCTCTCTCTCCTATCTCTCCTCTCTCTCCTCTCACTCTCTTCTCCTCTCCTCCTCTCACTCTCACTCCTCTCTCCTCCTCTCTCCTCTCTCTCCTCTCTCTCCTCTCTCCTCTCTCTCCTCTCTCTCCTTCTCCTCTACCTCTCTCCTCTCTCTCCCTCCTCTCTCTCTCCTCTCTCCTCCTCTACTCCTCCACTCTCCTCTCTCTCCCTCCTCCTCTCTTCTCTCTCCTCCTTCTCCTCTCACTCTCCTCTCTCTCTCTTCTCTCACTCCTCTCTCCTCTCTCTCCTCTCCTCACTCCTCCTCTCTCCTCCTCTCTCCTCCTCTCCTCTCCTCTCCTTCTCCTCTCCTCTCTCCTCCTCTCTCCTCCTCTCTCCTCTCTCTCTCTCTCCATCTCTCTCCTCCTCTCCTCCTCTCTCCTCTTCTCCTCTCTCCTCTCCTCTCTCCTCTCCTCTCTCCTCCTCTCTCCTCTCTCCTCCTCTCTCCTCCTCTCTCTCTCTCTCCACTCCTCTCTCCTCTCACTCCTCTCTCTCCTCTCTCTCCACTCTCTCCTCTCTCTCCTCTCCTCCTACCTCTTCTCCATCTCTCCAACTCACTCATTCACATCCCTCTCAACTCCTCTCTCTCTCACACTCCTCTCCTCTCCTCTCCTCACTCCACTCTCTCCTCATCCATCTCCTCTCTCTCCTCTCTCTCTCCTCTCTCCACTCCACCCTCCTCTCCCTCTCTCATTCTCCTCACTCTCCCTCTCCTCCTCCTCTCTCTCTCCTCTCCTCTCACTCCTCCTCTCACCTCTCTCCTCTCTCTCTCCTCTCTCCTCCTTCTCTCCTCTCTCTCTATCTCTCTCTCCTCCTCTCTCCTCCTCTCTCCTCCTCTCTCCTCTCTCTCCTCTCTCCTCCTCTCTCTCTCCCTCTCAACCTCCTTCCTCTCTCCTCTCACTCTCCTCTCTCTCTCCTCCTCTCTCCTCCTCTCTCCTCTCCTCTCTCTCTCTCTCCTCCTCTCTCTCTCCTCTCTCCCTCTCCTCCTCTCTCCTCTCTCTCCTCTCCTCCTCATCTCCTCTCTCCTCCTCTCTCCTCCTCTCCTCTCTCTCCACTCTCACTCTCTCCTCTCCTCTCTCCTCTCTCTCCTCACTCTCTCCTCTCTCTCCTCCTCTCTCCTCCTCTCTCCTCCTCTCTCTCCTCTCCTCTCTCTCTCCTCTCTCCTCCTCTCTCTCCTCTCTCTCCTCTCCTCCACTCTCTTCATCCTCTCTCCTCTCTCTCCTCCTCTCTCCTCCTCTCTCCTCTCTCTCCTCTCTCTCCTCTCCCTCCTCCTCTCTCTCCTCCTCTCCCTCTCTCTCTCCTCTCTCCTCCTCTCTCCTCCTCTCTCCTCCTCTCCTCTCCTCTCTTCTCTCCTCTCCTCTCCTCCTACTCTCTCCTCTCTCCTCCTCTCCTCCTCTCTCTCTCCTCTCTCCTCCTCTCTCCTCTCCTCTCTCCTCCTCTCTCCTCCTCTCCTCTCTCCTCCTCTCTCCTCTCTCTCTCCTCCTCTCCTCTCTCTCCTCTCTCCTCCTCTTCCTCCTCTCTCCTCTCCTCTCTCTCCTCTTCTCCTCTCTCTCCTCTCTCCTCCTCTCTCCTCCTCTATTCCTCTCTCTCTCTCCTCTCTCCTCCTCTCCTCCTCTCTCCTCTCCTCCTCTCTCTCTCCTCTCTCCTCTCCTCCTCTCTCTCTCCTCCTCTCTCTCCTCCTCTCCTCCTCTCTCTCTCCTCTCTCTCCTCCTCTCTCTTCCTCTCTCTCCTCTCTCTCCTCTATCCTACTCTCCTCTCTCCTCTCACTCTCCTCTCTCTCCTCTCTCCTCTCCTCTCTCCTCCTCTCTCTCTCTCCTCCTCTCTCCTATCCTCTCTCCTCTCCTCTCCTCTCTCCTCCTCTCTCCTCCTCTCCTCCTCTCTCTCCTCTCTCCTCTCCTCTCCTCCTCTCTCCTCCTCTCTCTCTCTCCTCCTTCTCTCCTCTCTCTCCTCCTCTCGCCTCTCCTCTCTCCCTCCTCTCCTCCTCTCTCTCCTCTCTCCTCCTCTCTCTCTCTCCTCTCTCCTCCTCTCTCCTCTCTCTCTCTCTCCTCCTCTCTCCTCCTCTCTCCTCTCTCTTCTCCTCTCCTCCTCTCTCTCTCCTCTCTCCTCCTCTCTCCTCTCTCTCCTCTCCTCCTCTCTCCTCTCTCTCTCTCCTCTCTCCTCCTCTCTCCTCTTCCTCTCTCTCCCCTACCTCCTCTCTCCTCTCTCTCTCCTCTCTCCTCTCTCCTCTCTCTCCTCCTCTCTCCTCCTCTCCTCTCCTCCTCTCTCTCTCCTCTCTCTCTCTCTCTCCTCTCTCCTCTCTCTTCCTCTCCTCCTCTCTCCTCTCCTCTCTCCTCCTCTCTCCTCCTCTCTCCTCCTCTCTCCTCCTCTCTCCTCTCTCTCTCCTGCAGATTCCCTTTGACTCTGAGGAGGTGAGGAGAGCTCTGATTGCGGTCCATAACTTTGCCGTCCCTCAGATAAAGGTCTGATTCTCTTCCTCTGCTCCTCTGTTTGTTCTGTTCATCTTTGACATGAACGACTCTCAGTGTTTAAAGAGTAGAAGCTGATTTGAAGAGCAGCCATATTGGAAAGATTTGGAGCTAAATTCTCCACAGTTGATGTTAAACTCTTCTTCATGGTGTTCCTCATGGTCCTCCTCATGGTGTTCCTCATGGTCCTCCTCATGTCCAGGTGGGTCGCGGGGGCCGAGCCGAGCTTCCTCCGATCGAGACCTCCACAGACTCCGAGCGAGGGCCCATCGTCCCAGTGCCTCTGGGCATCAGGCCGGTCCTAAGCCGCTACCGCATCGAGGTGAGACTGACTAGCTTCTATGACTCACTGTTAGCTGTTAGCATCTATGACTCACTGTTAGCTTCTATGACTCACTGTTAGCTTCTATGACTCACTGTTAGCTTCTATGACTCACTGTTAGCATCTATGACTCACTGTTAGCATCTATGACTCACTGTTAGCTTCTATGACTCACTGTTAGCTTCTATGACTCACTGTTAGCTTCTATGACTCACTGTTAGCTTCTATGACTCACTGTTAGCTTCTATGACTCACTGTTAGCTTCTATGACTCACTGTTAGCTGTTAGCATCTATGACTCACTGTTAGCTTCTATGACTCACTGTTAGCTTCTATGACTCACTGTTAGCTTCTATGACTCACTGTTAGCTTCTATGACTCACTGTTAGCTTCTATGACTCACTGTTAGCTTCTATGACTCACTGTTAGCTTCTATGACTCACTGTTAGCTTCTATGACTCACTGTTAGCTGTTAGCATCTATGACTCACTGTTAGCTTCTATGACTCACTGTTAGCTTCTATGACTCACTGTTAGCTTCTATGACTCACTGTTAGCTTCTATGACTCACTGTTAGCTTCTATGACTCACTGTTAGCTTCTATGACTCACTGTTAGCATCTATGACTCACTGTTAGCATCTATGACTCACTGTTAGCATCTATGACTCACTGTTAGCTTCTATGACTCACTGTTAGCATCTATGACTCACTGTTAGCTTCTATGACTCACTGTTAGCTTCTATGACTCACTGTTAGCATCTATGACTCACTGTTAGCTTCTATGACTCACTGTTAGCTTCTATGACTCACTGTTAGCTTCTATGACTCACTGTTAGCTTCTATGACTCACTGTTAGCTTCTATGACTCACTGTTAGCTTCTATGACTCACTGTTAGCTTCTATGACTCACTGTTAGCTTCTATGACTCACTGTTAGCTTCTATGACTCACTGTTAGCTTCTATGACTCACTGTTAGCATCTATGACTCACTGTTAGCTTCTATGACTCACCGTTAGCATCTATGACTCACTGTTAGCTTCTATGACTCACTGTTAGCTTCTATGACTCACCGTTAGCATCTATGACTCACTGTTAGCTTCTATGACTCACTGTTAGCTTCTATGACTCACTGTTAGCTTCTATGACTCACTGTTAGCTTCTATGACTCACTGTTAGCTTCTATGACTCACTGTTAGCTTCTATGACTCACTGTTAGCTTCTATGACTCACTGTTAGCTTCTATGACTCACTGTTAGCTTCTATGACTCACTGTTAGCTTCTATGACTCACTGTTAGCATCTATGACTCACTGTTAGCTTCTATGACTCACTGTTAGCTTCTATGACTCACTGTTAGCATCTATGACTCACTGTTAGCATCTATGACTCACTGTTAGCTTCTATGACTCACCGTTAGCATCTATGACTCACTGTTAGCTTCTATGACTCACTGTTAGCTTCTATGACTCACTGTTAGCTTCTATGACTCACTGTTAGCTTCTATGACTCACTGTTAGCATCTATGACTCACTGTTAGCTTCTATGACTCACTGTTAGCTGTTAGCATCTATGACTCACTGTTAGCTTCTATGACTCACTGTTAGCATCTATGACTCACTGTTAGCTTCTATGACTCACTGTTAGCTTCTATGACTCACTGTTAGCTTCTATGACTCATCGTTAGCTTCTATGACTCACTGTTAGCATCTATGACTCACTGTTAGCTTCTATGACTCACTGTTAGCTTCTATGACTCACTGTTAGCTTCTATGACTCACTGTTAGCATCTATGACTCACTGTTAGCTTCTATGACTCACTGTTAGCTTCTATGACTCACTGTTAGCTTCTATGACTCACTGTTAGCTTCTATGACTCACTGTTAGCATCTATGACTCACTGTTAGCTTCTATGACTCACTGTTAGCTTCTATGACTCACTGTTAGCTTCTATGACTCACTGTTAGCTTCTATGACTCACTGTTAGCTTCTATGACTCACTGTTAGCTTCTATGACTCACTGTTAGCTTCTATGACTCACTGTTAGCTTCTATGACTCACTGTTAGCTTCTATGACTCACTGTTAGCTGTTAGCATCTATGACTCACTGTTAGCTTCTATGACTCACTGTTAGCTTCTATGACTCACTGTTAGCTTCTATGACTCACTGTTAGCATCTATGACTCACTGTTAGCTTCTATGACTCACTGTTAGCTTCTATGACTCACTGTTAGCTTCTATGACTCACTGTTAGCATCTATGACTCACTGTTAGCTTCTATGACTCACTGTTAGCTTCTATGACTCACTGTTAGCTTCTATGACTCACTGTTAGCTTCTATGACTCACTGTTAGCTTCTATGACTCACTGTTAGCTTCTATGACTCACTGTTAGCTTCTATGACTCACTGTTAGCTGTTAGCATCTATGACTCACTGTTAGCTTCTATGACTCACTGTTAGCTTCTATGACTCACTGTTAGCTTCTATGACTCACTGTTAGCTTCTATGACTCACTGTTAGCTTCTATGACTCACTGTTAGCTTCTATGACTCACTGTTAGCATCTATGACTCACTGTTAGCTTCTATGACTCACTGTTAGCTTCTATGACTCACTGTTAGCTGTTAGCATCTATGACTCACTGTTAGCTTCTATGACTCACCGTTAGCATCTATGACTCACTGTTAGCTTCTATGACTCACTGTTAGCATCTATGACTCACTGTTAGCTTCTATGACTCACTGTTAGCATCTATGACTCACTGTTAGCATCTATGACTCACTGTTAGCATCTATGACTCACTGTTAGCTTCTATGACTCACTGTTAGCATCTATGACTCACTGTTAGCTTCTATGACCACTGTTAGCTTCTATGACTCACTGTTAGCTTCTATGACTCACTGTTAGCTTCTATGACTCACTGTTAGCTGTTAGCATCTATGACTCACTGTTAGCTTCTATGACTCACTGTTAGCATCTATGACTCACTGTTAGCTTCTATGACTCACTGTTAGCTTCTATGACTCACCGTTAGCATCTATGACTCACTGTTAGCTTCTATGACTCACTGTTAGCTTCTATGACTCACTGTTAGCATCTATGACTCACTGTTAGCTTCTATGACTCACTGTTAGCTTCTATGACTCACTGTTAGCATCTATGACTCACTGTTAGCTTCTATGACTCACTGTTAGCTTCTATGACTCACTGTTAGCTTCTATGACTCATCGTTAGCATCTATGACTCACTGTTAGCTTCTATGACTCACTGTTAGCTTCTATGACTCACTGTTAGCTTCTATGACTCACTGTTAGCTTCTATGACTCACTGTTAGCTTCTATGACTCACTGTTAGCTTCTATGACTCACTGTTAGCTTCTATGACTCATCGTTAGCTTCTATGACTCACTGTTAGCTTCTATGACTCATCGTTAGCATCTATGACTCACTGTTAGCTTCTATGACTCACTGTTAGCTTCTATGACTCACTGTTAGCTTCTATGACTCACTGTTAGCATCTATGACTCACTGTTAGCATCTATGACTCACTGTTAGCTTCTATGACTCACTGTTAGCTTCTATGACTCACTGTTAGCTTCTATGACTCACTGTTAGCTTCTATGACTCACTGTTAGCATCTATGACTCACTGTTAGCTTCTATGACTCACTGTTAGCATCTATGACTCACTGTTAGCTTCTATGACTCACTGTTAGCTTCTATGACTCACTGTTAGCATCTATGACTCACTGTTAGCTTCTATGACTCACTGTTAGCTTCTATGACTCACTGTTAGCTTCTATGACTCACTGTTAGCTTCTATGACTCACTGTTAGCTTCTATGACTCACTGTTAGCTTCTATGACTCACTGTTAGCTTCTATGACTCACTGTTAGCTGTTAGCATCTATGACTCACTGTTAGCTTCTATGACTCACTGTTAGCTTCTATGACTCACTGTTAGCTTCTATGACTCACTGTTAGCTTCTATGACTCACTGTTAGCTTCTATGACTCACTGTTAGCTTCTATGACTCACTGTTAGCTTCTATGACTCACTGTTAGCATCTATGACTCACTGTTAGCTTCTATGACTCACTGTTAGCATCTATGACTCACTGTTAGCATCTATGACTCACTGTTAGCTTCTATGACTCACTGTTAGCTGTTAGCTTCTATGACTCACTGTTAGCTTCTATGACTCACTGTTAGCTTCTATGACTCACTGTTAGCTTCTATGACTCACTGTTAGCTTCTATGACTCACTGTTAGCTTCTATGACTCACCGTTAGCATCTATGACTCACTGTTAGCTTCTATGACTCACTGTTAGCTTCTATGACTCACTGTTAGCTTCTATGACTCACTGTTAGCTTCTATGACTCACTGTTAGCTTCTATGACTCACTGTTAGCTTCTATGACTCACTGTTAGCATCTATGACTCACTGTTAGCTTCTATGACTCACTGTTAGCTTCTATGACTCACTGTTAGCTTCTATGACTCACTGTTAGCTTCTATGACTCACTGTTAGCTTCTATGACTCACTGTTAGCATCTATGACTCACTGTTAGCATCTATGACTCACTGTTAGCATCTATGACTCACTGTTAGCTTCTATGACTCACTGTTAGCATCTATGACTCACTGTTAGCATCTATGACTCACTGTTAGCATCTATGACTCACTGTTAGCTTCTATGACTCACTGTTAGCTTCTATGACTCACTGTTAGCATCTATGACTCACTGTTAGCATCTATGACTCACTGTTAGCATCTATGACTCACTGTTAGCTTCTATGACTCACTGTTAGCTTCTATGACTCACTGTTAGCTTCTATGACTCACTGTTAGCATCTATGACTCACTGTTAGCTTCTATGACTCACTGTTAGCTTCTATGACTCACTGTTAGCTTCTATGACTCACTGTTAGCTTAGCTTCTATGACTCACTGTTAGCTTCTATGACTCACTGTTAGCTTCTATGACTCACTGTTAGCTTCTATGACTCACTGTTAGCTTCTATGACTCACTGTTAGCTTCTATGACTCACTGTTAGCTTCTATGACTCACTGTTAGCTTCTATGACTCACTGTTAGCTTCTATGACTCACTGTTAGCTTCTATGACTCACTGTTAGCTTCTATGACTCACTGTTAGCTTCTATGACTCACTGTTAGCATCTTGACTCACTGTTAGCTTCTATGACTCACTGTTAGCTTCTATGACTCACTGTTAGCATCTATGACTCACTGTTAGCATCTATGACTCACTGTTAGCTTCTATGACTCACTGTTAGCTTCTATGACTCACTGTTAGCTTCTATGACTCACTGTTAGCTTCTATGACTCACTGTTAGCTTCTATGACTCACTGTTAGCTTCTATGACTCACTGTTAGCTTCTATGACTCACTGTTAGCTTCTATGACTCATCGTTAGCATCTATGACTCACTGTTAGCTTCTATGACTCACTGTTAGCTTCTATGACTCACTGTTAGCTTCTATGACTCACTGTTAGCTTCTATGACTCACTGTTAGCTTCTATGACTCACTGTTAGCTTCTATGACTCACTGTTAGCTTCTATGACTCATCGTTAGCTTCTATGACTCACTGTTAGCTTCTATGACTCATCGTTAGCATCTATGACTCACTGTTAGCTTCTATGACTCACTGTTAGCTTCTATGACTCACTGTTAGCTTCTATGACTCACTGTTAGCTTCTATGACTCACTGTTAGCTTCTATGACTCACTGTTAGCTTCTATGACTCACTGTTAGCTTCCATGACTCACCGTTAGCATCAGAGTGCTGTTGTGTTCCAGGTTCTGTTCTGGGGCCTGAGGGACCTGAAGCGGATCAACCTGGCCCAAGTAGATCGCCCCCGTGTGGACATAGAGTGTGCGGGTCGAGGGGTCCAGTCTGCTCTCATCCAGAACTACAAGAAGAACCCCAACTTTAGCACTTTGGTCAAATGGTTGGAGGTGGTGAGTGCAGAGCAGCACCATGGAGACCACCATCTGTCTGGAACTAGTCTGATTCTGATCTACGAGACCATGAAGGATGGTTTTGGTTCAGTCTTGTGGCTAAATGTATCAATCTATTTAGTAAACAAATCCACCACGACTCGCAACAAAGCTATAGCGCTAGACAGACAGGAAGTGAACAGGAAGTGATGTCACAGCGCTCCGTGCAGATGGACCATTGTAAAAAGGTTCTGCCTCCGTTAGATTGACTCCGTCAGAGATTGTTCCCACTAATAATGAGAGTAAACGAGTGGTCAGAGGTTTTTAAACTACTGACCCTTTTCTGGGACCATGTGTGACCCAGGACCATGTGTTCCTGGACCATGTGTGAACCAGGACCATGTGTAACCCAGGACCATGTGTAACCCAGGACCATGTGGTTACATCACCATGTAGTTCCAGAACCATGTGTGACCCAGGACCATGTGTTCCTGGACCATGTGTGAACCAGGACCATGTGTAACCCAGGACCATGTGTAACCCAGGACCATGTGGTTACATCACCATGTAGTTCCAGAACCATGTGTGACCCAGGACCATGTGTTCCTGGACCATGTGTGAACCAGGACCATGTGTAACCCAGGACCATGTGTAACCCAGGACCATGTGTTCCAGGACCATGTGTAACCCAGGACCATGTGTGACCCAGGACCATGTGGTTCCAGGACCATGTGTGACCCAGGACCATGTGTTCCTGGACCATGTGTGACCCAGGACCATGTGTTCCGGGACCATGTGTGACTCAGGACCATGTGTGACCCAGGACCATGTGTTCCAGGATCATGTGTGACCCAGGACCATGTGTGACTCATGACCATGTGTGACCCAGGACCATATATGTGACCCAGGACCATGTGTTCCAGGACCACGTGTGACTCAGGACCACGTGTGACCCAGGACCATGTGGTTCCAGAACCATGTGTTACCCAGGACCATGTGTTATCCGGGACCACGTGTGACTCGGGACCACGTGTTATCCGGGACCATGTATGACTCAGGATCATGTGGTTCCAGGACCATGTGGTTTTTGCACCATGTGGTTCCAGAACCATGTTTGACCCAGGACCATGTGGTTTTTGCACCATGTGGTTCCAGAACCATGTTTGACCCAGGACCATGTGGTTCTAGGACCATGTGTTCCTGGACCATGTGTGACCTAGGACCATGTGGTTCCAGGACCATGTGGTTACAGCACCATGTGGTTCCAGAACCATGTTTGACCCAGGACCATGTGGTTCTAGGACCATGTGTGACTTAGGACCATGTGGTTCCAGGACCATGTGCTTCTAGGACCATGTGTGACTCAGGACCATGTGTGACCCAGAACCATGTGTTCCAGGACCATGTTTGACCCAGGACCATGTGTGACTCAGGACCATGTGTGACCCAGGACCATGTGTTCCAGGACCATGTGTTCCAGGACCATGTGTGACCCAGGACCATGTTTGACCCAGGACCATGTGTGACTCAGGACCATGTGTGACCCAGGACCATGTGTAACTCAGGACCATGTTTGACCCAGGACCATGTGTGACTCAGGACCATGTGTTCCAGGACCATGGTTGACCCAGGACCATGTGTTCCAGGACCATGTGTGACCCAGGACCATGTGGTTCCAGGACCATGTGTGACTCAGGACCATGTGTGACTCAGGACCATGTGTAACTCAGGACCATGTTTGACCCAGGACCATGTGTGACTCAGGACCATGTGTTCCAGGACCATGTGTGACCAGGACCATGTGTTCCTGGACCATGTGTGACCTAGGACCATGTGGTTCCAGGACCATGTGGTTACAGCACCATGTGGTTCCAGAACCATGTTTGACCCGGACCATGTGGTTCTAGGACCATGTGTGACTCAGGACCATGTGGTTCCAGGACCATGTGGTTCTAGGACCATGTGTGACTCAGGACCATGTGTGACCCAGAACCATGTTTTACTCAGGACCATGTGTGACCCAGGACCATGTGTGACTCAGGACCATGTGTGACCCAGGACCATGTGTGACTCAGGACCATGTGTGACCCAGGACCATGTGTTCCAGGACCATGTGTGACCAGGACCATGTGTTCCAGGACCATGTGTGACCAGGACCATGTGTTCCAGGACCATGTGTGACCAGGACCATGTGTTGCAGGACCTCCCGGAGAACGAGCTGCTGCATCCTCCTCTGAACATCAGGGTGGTGGACTGTAGGACCTTTGGGAGGTTCGTCTTGGTCGGATCTCACGCTGTCACCAGCCTCAGGCGCTTCATCTACAGCACGGACAGGACCAGCAGCCACTGGGCCACTGCAGGTACTCACATGGTACCACTCACATGGTACCACTCACATGGGACCACTCACATGCAGCAGGCACCACACACATGGTACCACACACATGGGACCACACACACACACTAAGTAGTACCACACACACACACACACTCAGTAGGTACCACACACACACACACTCAGTAGGTACCACACACACACACTCAGTAGGTACCACACACACACACACTCAGTAGGTACCACACACACACACACTCAGTAGGTACCACACACACACACTCAGTAGGTACCACACACACACACACTCAGTAGGTACCACACACACACACTCAGTAGGTACCACATACACACACACACACTCAGTAGGTACCACACACACACACTCAGTAGGTACCACACACACACACGCACACAGTCAGTGGTACCACACACACACACTCAGTAGGTACCACACACACACACGCACACACTCACACAGTCAGTAGGTACCACACACACACAGTCAGTAGGTACCACACACACACACTCACACAGTCAGTAGGTACCACACACACAGTCAGTAGGTACCACACACACACACTCACACAGTCAGTAGGTACCACACACACACACACAGTCAGTAGGTACCACACACACACAGTCAGTAGGTACCACACACACACACTCAGTAGGTACCACACACACACACACACTCAGTAGGTACCACACACACACACTCAGTAGGTACCACACACACACACACACTCAGTAGGTACCACACACACACTCAGTAGGTATCACACACACACACTCAGTAGGTACCACACACACACACTCAGTAGGTACCACACAAACACACACACTCAGTAGGTACCACACACACACACTCAGTAGGT